CTGGCTGAAGTCGGACGCTCAACCGACTGCGCCACCCAGGCGCCCCTCAAGCTGGTTTTCTACGCATGCTCAGTAGCACTCTTCAGAGTCTCACCACTTTTTGGGTCATGCTCAAGGAACGGACCACAATGTACTGGTGTGTGTAGGTGAGGCACTTGAATCACTGGAGGTGCCCATGAACCAGTTGAGATCCACAGGCGAGCATCTACCACAGTCACAGGTGGGATTCCTGATGGAGCCTGCAATGCAGTTAATAGGATCCACATCCCTTTGTGCCCCTGGTTGCTATTCTACCAGCCACTCCCTGTCTCCCAGCCACACTGCATACCTCAATATTCTGGATGGGATGAGAAAAAAATGTGGGTCTGATTTTCAGCATTCTACATAGGCGGTGAAACTGGGTACTCACATGCTAATGTTCCCTCATGGGAGAAATCAGGACAGAGAAAACCCATCTTGGCATTGAGCTGTGCTGCTTTGGTGGAAAGGTAATGCAGGTAAAGTGAAACTGTCCCTCTTATTCTCTTCTATGATTCCAGTCTTGGATTTTTTTGTTGTTGGTGTTCCAATGGTATGCTAGTTTTTCTGCTGGATTCCTGGACTTCCACAAATTGAATGCTGTCTTGTCCATTGGTAATTGGCTAAATTGCATTATTTGGGAGCAAGATAGAAAAGAAAACTCTTACCATGTTAATGACATCACTACCTCTCGATGACTTTCTTGATTTTTTAAATGTTTGTTTATTTATTTTGAGAGAGAGAGACAGAGAGAGGGAGAGAGAATATCCCAGTCAGACTGCATGCTGTCAGTGCAGAGCCTATTCAGAAGTTACTTGGGAACACAGCCAGGTGATCAAGGTTAACATCAACAGGGATAAGTCATGTTGATGGTATGTAAAGAGTGGCACTTTACCTTGCGGTCTTCCTCCCCAAAACATAGAACACCAGTATAGTCATAAGAAGAACATCAGAAAATCCTAGTTACAGGACATTCTACAAAATTCATCCCCAGTGTTCCTTCAAACTGTCACTGAGAACAAAGTCTAAGAAACTCATACCCAAGAGGAGACATAATAACTAAAAGTATTGTGGTATCCTGGAACACACAAAAAAAGAACGTTATATTAAAAAGTTAAAAAAAAGACTATATAAACTTCAGTTACTAATAACACATCAGTATTAATTCATCAGTTGTGACAAGCACACCATACTAATGTAGGATGTAAGTCATAGAGGAGACTAAGTGTGGTACACCTATAGAAAATGCCTCTACTATTTTTTTTAAAGTTTATTTATTTATTTTGAGAGAGAAAGAGAGAGAGCACTTGTGCGCAAGCAGGGGACCAGCAAAGAGAGGGAGAGAAAGAATCTCAAGCGGGCTCTGCACTGTCAGCAAGGAGCCTGATGTGTGGCTCAAACTCATGAACTGTGAGATTATGACCTGAGCTGATTCTGATGCTTAACTAACTGAGCCACCCAGGAACCCTTCTCTCCTATTTTAAAATAAACTTTTGCTAAATCTAAAACTATTCTAAAATAAAGTTTATTTTAAAAAATTTTCTGAGAAAATTAACTACAAGTCTGTGGAGGTCAAAATGGCTAGATTTCCAGGGCACAGAACCAGACAGGAGGGAGATGTGCATGTGTGCACCCCCCCCCACACACACACACACGCACTGCACGAGGCCATTAAGTAGTCCCTGTTCAGGCCAACCAGAGTGGAAAGCCTCATAATTTGTGGGGTATTGGGTAAAGTACTTAGGCAAGTTTTGCCTCACTAGAGAGGCAAATTTAGCTCTATACCAAATGATGTTTTGGCCCTAATAAACTTTATTAGAAATGTCATTTGAAAATATCCTCTTCCATTCAGTAGGTTGTCTTTTAGTTTTGTTGATTGTTTTCTTTGCTGTGCAGAAGCTCTTTATTAAAAAGATGTTTTAAAATATATTTTAGTTAGTTAACATGTAGTGCAATATTGGCTTCAGAAGTAGAATTCAGTGATTCATCACTCACATACAACACCCAGTGCTTTATGTTTTATTTTGTTTCTCTTGTCGGGAGAAGGTATGTATAAAGAAGTTGCAGTGGCTAATGTCAGAGAAGTTACTGCCAGTTCTTTCTTCTAGGGTTTTTACGGTTTCTGGCCTCACATTGTGGTCTTTAATCCATTTTGAGTTTATTTTTGTGTATGGTGTAAGAAAGTGGCCCAGTTTCATTGATTTGCATGTTGCTGTCCTGTTCTCCCAGCACCATTTGTTGAAGAGACTGTCTTTCCCATTGGAATATCTTTCCTGCTTTGTCGAAGATTAATTGACCATATAGCTGTGGCTTCATTTCTGGATTTTCTCTTCTTTTCTATTGATATATTTGTCTATTTTATACTGTTTTGATTACTAAAGCTTTGTCGTATAACTTGAAACCTGGTATTGTGATGCCTCCAGCTTTTTCTTTTTCAAGATTTCTTTGGCTATTCAGGGTCTTTTGTGGTTCCATACCAATTTTAGGATGGTTTGTTTTTGACTCCAAGATTTCTGCTGAAAAGCCTGCTCATAACCGTATTGGGAATCCCTTATATGTAAAGTTTCTTTTGAGATTTTCTTTGATTTGACTTTTGACTATTTATCATGTGTCTCTGTGTGGTTCTCTTCATTTTATCCTACTTGGAATTTATTGAGCTTCTTGGATTTGTGGATCCATGTTGTTCCTCAAATTTGGGAAGTGTTTTATATTATTTTTTAAAATAATCTCTCTGCCCCATTCTTTCTTTCTTCTTCTGAGACTCCAATAGTAGAACATAAATTGTTCTACTTGATAGAGTCCGAAAAGTCCCTTAGGGTCTATTCATTTTTCCTTAATATTTTTCTTTTCCTCCTGAGATTCAATAATTTCAAATGTCTTCAAGTTTCCTAGTTCTTCTGCCTGTTTCAGTCTGCTGTTGAATTTCTCAATTCAGCTATCTGTATTTTTCAGCAACAGATATTCTTTTTGGTTCTTCCTGTTATTTTATTTATTTTGTTTATTTATGTTATTTTATTTATTTAATTAATTTATTTTTTAACTAGGCTCTGTGCCCAACATGGGGCTTGAACTCATGACCCTGAGATCAAGAGTCACAGGCTTTACCACCTAAGCCAGCAGTACCCAACCCCATGTAATTTAAAATGTCAACTTCCCAATAAAGCTCACCCCAACTTCTCTTTGGAGTGTTAGATATTCTATCATATTCCTCCACCCATAATCTCTTGCCACAGGTATCTGTGTGTCTGCAACTTTCACAAGCAATACTTGCTTCTTTCCAAAGCTTTTTCCAGGCTGAGATTCATGCTATTCCACTTTTGCCCCATCTGAGCTCCTAATCCAAAGAAACAGACCAATCCCTCAGGCAGCCCCCAGACCGGTTAGAATGTCACAAGTAAAATCTGTTTTGCTTCCTTCATTTTGATGGAGGAAATTGGGAACTGGGATTTTGTTTCCTTTAGACCACCCTACACTGCATCACACCATAGAGGTGTTGAGACAAAAGTAAGCAAGGATGCCATGAGATTTCCTATTTTGAATGTGGCTTTTTGTTGATTGGGCATTTGCTTGATTGCTGTAGTCCATTGTTTTCCAGGGCTTCTATAAAATTATTTCAGGGGCACCTGGGAGGCTGCCTGTTGAGTATCTGACTCTTGGTTTAGGCTCAGATCATGATCTCCCAATTCGTGGGTTCAAGCTCCATGTCCGGCTCCGAGCTGACAGCATGGAGCCTGCTTGGTATTCTTTCCCTCTCTCTCTATGCCCCTTCCCCACTCGCTTACTCTCTCTCAAAAAAAAAAATTTTGTTTTTTCAAAAAATTTTTATTTATTTATTTTTAATTAAAAATGTTTTATTTATTTTTGAGAGAGAGAGAGAGAGAGAGAGAGCAAGTGGGGGAGAGGCACAGAGAGAGGAAGATACAGAATCTGAATAAGGTTCCAGGCTCTGAGCTGTCAGCAAAAAGCTCTATGTGGGGCTTGAACTTGTGAACTGTGAGATCGTGGCCTGAGTGAAAGTCAGACGCTTAACCAACTGAGCCATCCAGGATCCCCTCAAAATTTTTAAAAAATGTTTATTCCTTTTTGAGAGAGAGAGAGAGAGAGAGAGAGAGAGAGAGAGAGAATGAGTGGGGGAGGGGCAGAGAAAGAGGGAAACAGAGGATCTGAAACAGGCTCTGTGCAGATAGCAGACAGTCCATTGTGGGGCTGGAACTCATGGACTGTGAGATCATGACCTGAGTTGAAGTCAGATGCTCAACCAACTGAGCCACTCAGGCGCCCCTCTCTCAAAATTAATAAACTAAAAGAAATTATTTTAGCCCATGTAGAGTTTTAAAAAATGTTTTCATGGGCAAAGAGGGCCTGGGGCTTCCTAGTCTGCCATCTTGCAAATCTCACTTCACTGTGGCCAGTGTTATAGTCCCATTTATTTCAATGCTCACTAGTAGTTTGGATATGTGAACAAATTGGATATGTGAACACAGGCTTCAGGCCTTCCTCATGGTTTCTCAGCAGGAATCAAAATGAGGTGTGTTTTAATAGCACAAAATTACATTCAACCTATGTGTACTTGTACTACATCAAGATGGAAGCATTTACATGCTATATTAATGCAATTAAAAGAAATGTAAAGTGATAGATTTTGTTTTGCAAAGCCATGGGTTAGCAATTCTGAAACTACTTTCTGTACATTCTGTCTCCCCACAAGATGCTTATTAGTAATTGTATAGTGGAGAAATCTGAAAGGCACTACCTTAACCAAATGATCAAAGTTGACAGTGCCTTAAGGGGACAATGTGCCTCCTGATATAGGTGCATTAGAATTTTTTGTAGTATTCCTGCTAAAAATAATCTAAATTTAACACCAAGAAAACATTAGTGAAATCCAATTTGTCAATATTATGAAAATATAAAGAAATCATCAGGAAAACACTAACAATTTGTTGCCTCTCATTTAAAGTAAGCCCTGTCAGTGTGGTTTCTTTTCTTTCTCTTTTTTTTTCCAGCCACATTGAGCTGTACTGCAAGGGTACAGATGCACAGCGGGCAAAGGTCGTTATACAATCAGAACTGTATTTAACCAAAGCAAGAGAGCAGCCAGCAAGTTACAGGTGTACACAAGCGAGTATACAGGCTGACCATGTTAAGAAGGGAGAAGAGGGATGGCGAGGTATAGAGCTATGATCAGTGCATCCGGCGTGGGGATTGGGGAGACTTCCAAAATCTGGGTAGGCGCTTATGAAACTACAAAACTTCCCTGGTCCCGCAGACAGGTGCTTCCCTGGAGACTGGGGCCGCCCGGGGTCAGCCAGGCTCCAAGCCCCACGCACCTCCTGCCGCCCAGGACTACGCCTCCCGGCGGCCTCTGCGCCCGGCGCCCAGGACTACACTCCCCGGCGGCCCCCACTTCGGAAGCGGTTTCGTCCAGATCTGCCTTCCCGCCGCTGATTGGCTGCTGGCGTCCGCCGACCGCGCGGCGGCTCTCGGAGGTGGTGTCGGTCCGCTTGTCCTGACGCCAGGTGTGGGGTGCAGGTTCCGGTTACAGTGGGTGTTGGCGGGCGGCTGACGGTGACTGTGTGCGTGTCTGGGAGCGGGAGTGGACAACGAGGGGGCGATACGGAGAGGGGCGGGGCGCCCGGAGGTCAAGTGGACACCGGAGGGCGTGCCTTGCTGGTGTGCCCGCCCTCCCGCTCCGTGAGCTGTGCCCGCTCTTTCCTCGCGCGGTGCTGAGGGCGGGGGCGGGGGAGGTCGGAACGTGCGGGAACCTGCGCGTATCTGGGCGTCTGCTGTATTAGGGGCTCTTCGTGTTCCTCGGAGTGCTTCTTCCTACTCATGGTGTTGATTTGTTACTATTGGTGATTTCCTCTACTTGCATTTTTGTTGCATTCTTAGTCTTCCTCATTCGAATATACTGTACATACGATTGCACGAGTTGATGAATTTTTGCAACCCTAATACGCCTTGGCAATCAGCACTGAGACAGGGTGAAAAAAATAAAAGGATATTGCCAACTTTCCAGTTGTCATACCCCCTGCCCCGTTACTGTCAATATCTGATAATGTGAATCCTTTACAAAGAATTCCCTTGTAAAACCTTTGTAAAGGTTTCCTTTGAGATTGCCTTGGCTATTCACAGATCCTTGCACTTCTATAAGAATATTAGAATTGATTTGCTAATTTCATTAAAAAATTACTTTTTTAAAAATTGGGGTTGCTTTGAATCTACAAAGTTTTTTGAGAGAATTTACATCTACTCATGTCTTCTAATCAATGAACATGGGATATATATATATATATATATATATATATATATCGTTCAATAATATTCTGTCATTTTTACTCTAGAGGTCTTAAGACTGTTTTGATTTGTAACTAGCTATAAATTCTTATACTATTGAAAGTTACATCAGAGTTAAAATTTTGTGTTTCTGTTTAGTTGTTCTTGATTTATGGAAATCAAGCTGATTCTTTTTAAGTTGACCTTTTATCAATCTTGATAAAATCACTCAATTCTAGTAGCTTATCTATAGATTCTTTAAGATTTTTTAATGTACACAATCATGTCATTTGTGACTAATTAGTTTAATTTCTTCCTTTTTAGTACTTATGCGTTTTATTTCTTTTTTCTTGCTCTGTTGTACTGGATCAGACCTCTAGTTGAAAGGTCTTCTTTTTCATAATTTTAAGGGGAATGCATTCAGATTTTTAGCTTTAATTGTGATTTTTGAGGGAGCATTTTAAGATTTGCGTTATCAGGTTAATGATAGTGTTTCCTTTGATTTCTGGTTTACTCAGTTTTTTTGTTTTTTTGTTTTTTGTTTTTTTTGTTTTTCAACGTTTATTTATTTTTGGGACAGAGAGAGACAGAGCATGAACGGGGGAGGGGCAGAGAGAGAGGGAGACACAGAATCGGAAACAGGCTCCAGGCTCCGAGCCGTCAGCCCAGAGCCCGACGCGGGGCTCGAACTCACGGACCGCGAGATCGTGACCTGGCTGAAGTCGGACGCTTAACCGACTGCGCCACCCAGGCGCCCCTGGTTTACTCAGTTTTTATCATAATGTTGGATTTTGTCAGAATTTCTGCATGTATCCAGGGGATCGTGTAATTTTCTCTTTTTTCTGTTAATGAGGTGAGGTACACTGATTTTTAAATAATATTGTTACTATTTTAAGGTATTAGTATTATTATTATTATTATTATTATTATTATTATTTAAAGTAAGTTCATGCTCAACATGAGGCTTGAACTCAGGACCTGAGTTCAAGATCAGGAGTCACATGCTCCACTGACTGAACCAGCCTGGCACCCAAAGTACATTGATTTTCAAGTGTCACACATCTCTTACATTTTTCACATAAGCTCCACTTGGGTATGATATATAGGTATCATATATCATATAGCTCTCACTATCTTTGCATTTTTGTCTTATTGGTTTGCTTGTCTGTTTTTGCCTTCTATATTTTGAAGTTGTGTTATTGAGTAGATGGAGGCGTAGAATTTTGATTTTCCTGTTGTGTTGACATCTATAATAAAGATGAAATATTCCTGTTTAAGGCAAGAATAACTAATAGACATAAAGCCTATTTTGTTTGATATTACTGTAGTTCTACCTGCTGTCCTTTGGTTAGTATTCACATGCTATGTCTTTTTCTATTTTACTTTCAGTCTTTTTCTACCTCATATTTGAAGGGTGTCTTTTGTAAACAGCATGGAGTTGTATTTTGTTATTAAATATGCTCCAACAAGTTTAGTCTTTTCTTAGTTTGTGTTAGTTTATGTTAAATGTAATTACTTACATAGTGTCTGTTTTGTTGTTATTTGTTTTTTCCACTTAGTACATGTTTTTAAGTTTATTTATTTTGAGAGAAAGAAAGAGTGAGCAGTGGAGGCACAAAGAGAGAGGGAAAATCAGAAGCAGGTTCTGTGCTGCCAGGGCAAGAACCTGATATGGGGCTTGAGCTTATGTGAGATCATGACCTGAGCCAAAATCCAGAGTCAGACGCTTAACTGACTGAGCCATCCAGGTGCCCCTAGTTCATCTTTATGTTCTCTTTTGTCTTATTTTGGGTTAATTGAACTTTGTGTCTTTCCATTTTTTCCTTCCATCATACATTCATGTATGTTTGTTTTAGTGTTTTTGCACTAGAGATTGCAGAATGCATCATTGATGCTTTATAGTGTAATACAAATTATTTTTACAATTTCCCAGTGGTGCTAGAATTTTAGAACTTTTAAAACTGCATTTGCCAACTTCATCCTGTCTCTCCATCCCCTCCAGTATTTCTTGGTAATGGATTTTAATTCTACATGTACCTTCTTTTAATTAAAAATTTTTTTATTTTAGAGAGAGAGTACATGCGTGGAGGACAGGGGAAGAGGGAGAGAGAGAATCTTAAGCAGGCTCCACACTCAGCACAGAGCCCAACATGTGGTCTGACCCTGGGATCATCACCTGAACTGAAATCAAGAGTCAGATGCTCAACCAACTGAGCCACCCAGGCGTCCCGATTCTATGCGTATTTAAATATGAATTTTTTTTCCTGGTTAATATTCATTGAAATTTACCCCATACTTATGTTTTTTTTTGTTTTATGTTTTTATTTATTCTCATGCTTTCAATGAGGATTCTTTCCCTTCTGCCAGGTGAACCCATAAAACTTTTCTTCATATGGGTTTGGATTAGGAGTTGACAGAATATAGGAAGCTCTCAGCACTAATACATGATAATAGGACCTTTATAGTAGGCAGTTTAGCAATTTTTGTGTAAAAATTTGAACTACACACCCTACAACTTGACTCATGGGTATTATCATACAGATTTGTTTGTGCATGTGAAATAAAATATAAAATAGATAGTGATGGTTTATAAATAATCTAAATATTGATTATCAGGCAGCTAGTTAAAACATTGTGGGTCATGGGACGCCTGGGTGGCTCAGTTGGTTAAGCATCCAGCTTTGGCTCAGGTCATGATCTCACAGTTTGTGAGTTCAAGCCCCATGTCAGGCTCTGTGCTGACAGCTTGGAGCCTGGAACCTGCTTCGGATTCTGTATCTCCCTCTTTCTGCTCCTCCCCTGCTTGTGTTCTGTCTCTCTCTCAGAAATAAACAGTTTTAAAAATTGTGGGTCATTCTTAAGATGGATTATTTTTTTTAAGTTTAGTTTTTTTTTTTTAATTTTTTAATGTTTATTTATTTTTGAGAGAGACAGAGACAGAATGCAAGTGGGTTAGGGGCAGAGAGAGAGGGAGACACAGAATCGGAAGCAGGCTCCAGGCTCTGAGCCGTCAGCACAGAGCCCATTGTGGGGCTCGAACTCGAGCCGTGAGATCATGACGCCAGCTGAAGTCGGACGCTCAAGCGACTGAACCACCAGGCACCCCTTAAGTTTAGTTTTGAGAGAGAGAGAGAGAGAAAATGGACGAGTGGGGGAAGGGCAGAGAGAGAGGGAGAGAGAGAGAGAATCCTGAGCAGGCTCTTTGCTATTAGCATAGAGCCTGACGCAAGCCTCAAACTCATGAACTAGGGCATCATGACCTGAGCTGAAGTGAGAGACGCTTAACCGACTGAGCCACCCAGGTACCCCAAGATGGATTATTTCATATCTCAAGAATAAAGGAGCTCTTAATGCATTAATATAAAATGATCTCTAAAGTATATGGTTAATTAAAAATAAGGCAAAAGGAGGTACTTCCACATATTGTAATGAGACATAGGACAGTCTGACCAACCTGTTAGTGAAAACAATGGTAAGTTATAGGTACTATATAAAAATAATCACTGAGAGATTTTAAAGAGAGTTAAAAACAAAAGTCTAGAAACTTGAATGTTCAAGAAACCTCCTTTAGTAGGTTAGAATGGAGACATTTTATTACAGCACCTGGATAGTATTGTTATTCTTGCTGTAGCAGCGTCTGCAGTCTCTGGGCTCTTGTTACCATGCCTGTGGGAGGTGGGGATGGGGAAAACAGGGCATTGTGATATCCAGTTTGACTTCTCTGAGGAAAGCCTGTCTGTCCTGCCTTCTTTGTATTCAGCTCTGCCCTCTCAGGACAGTCACTGAGAGGACAGATCATTGTTGGAATTCTGAAAACTGTGGCTCATGTGAGTTGGAATTATCACTTTCTGTATTTATATCAGGTCCTATGTTTTTATTGTCTGTCATGAAAGTTGCTCCTGGGATGTCCTTCAGGAATCTGCTCCCAGACCCACTCTTGTGAGCGCCTTCCCTAAGTCCTCTCCTCCCCAGCCTGTTCTTGAGTGTACCATGAACAGTCTTAGACCTTTCTCACGTGGTTAGTTTTCAGTCAGGAGTGCGGATGGAGCACATTTTCCCAAGGGAAATATTAAAGATGCCTGTCACAAAACCATGGCTTAATAAGGCTGTGACAAACCACATCCTTGTCGATACAAAGTTTTGATCTGTTTCAGGGAGGTTTTAAATTAGACATAATGGTATAACTAGATAATAACTTTCCATCTATGAATTCCTTCAGAGTTTGGGCAAACCTAAGTGTCTAAAATATAAAATATACGAATGGTCAAGTCAGTTATAAGATACACGATTTGTCTTATATAGCAGGAGAAAAATGCTTGTGATCTCCCGACATAATGATGAAATAGTCCTTAGACTGTTTCTTTCTTAAATTATTATATCACATGCAAATTGTGCTTTCAAAGAGAGAAATATGATCTGAGGTACACATAGGATGGATGGAGGCCACAAGTTTTTCTTAGTCAAGCTGCGTATTTTCTGCTACTTCACTTACTGGGGAAACTCCATTTTACAGTATTTGTTCACTTCAAGCCCTTCCGTCTGAAGGTGGCTTGTTTCTCCAATGAGCGGGAGGGAGGGTAGCGACCTGCCAGACGTGTGCTCTAGCCCCAGCCTGAGTCTCCTCCTTTCTCTGATGACTCTCCATTTCCCTTTCCATGTTGAAAAATTGCCTTTAACTTCATCAGTGATGGGTATATTGACTCTTTTGAGGGGTTGGCAGTATTCAAGGACGTGGCGATAGACTTCACCCAGGGAGAGTGGAACTACTCTGGGTGCTGCACAAAAAGACTTATCCAGAGACGTGATGTTGGAAAACTACCACAACCTGGTCTCTGTCGGTAAGGACGTTTACTTGCAGATCATTCGGTATTTGCCTTGTGGAATTTCTACCTCTTTCCATGTGGATTTCTGGATTGTCTGAATTCCGTTTCCTGCTACTGAGGGAATAATCTGCACTCTATGGTTTTGGGGAAGACGTCTCTGTCACACACTGTTCTTCAGGAGACCTTCACCCTCCTTGTTATTCTTGTTATTATCTTCTTCAATGACCACAGCTGGACTTGAATTCTGCCATACCTGTAGGTTGATCCTATTTCTTTTCCTTTCTTGAAGTAGGACTTTCCAGATCTAAGCCAGATGTGATCTCCTTATTGGAGCAAGAGAAGCAGCCTTGGATGGTTACAAAGGCCTTGACAGGTGGACCTTGCCCAGGTGAGTGAGAGCTCATTGACAGAGGCCTTGGCAACCCAGGTGGCCTTGCCCTGCGGCAGTTACCACCTTTGGTATTTTTATTGGGAAGTGCCCTTCCAAGGACTGAGGCCTGACAAGGGAGAGAAGGCCTGAGGCATAGAAAAGTAGCTTTGTTTCTCTCCCTTCTCAGAAACGTAGGTGCCCCCCTTCCCCATGACCAGCAATCTTTTCCTTATATGTGCAATCTAATTCTTTCCCAGCTTCCCCTTGTCATTTAAACTTGTGTAAGTATTGTCACTTCTGAACAATATTTCTTAAAAACCCCTATTTTACCTTTTTTTCAATGACTTGATCCCTCTTTGAGAAGTTTCTCCTTTTTTCAGTAGTTCATGCTTTATTCATTCACTCTTATCCAAAATGTACTGATGTTTAATTTATGCAAGCCTCATTTCAGAACTTGAGGGAATTAAAGTGAGTAAATTATTATTATTTTTTTATTGATGTATAGTTGACACACACCCATTATGTTAGTTTCAGGTGTACAATGTAGTGATTTGACACATCTGTCCCTTATGCTGTGCTCACCATAAGTGCAGCTGCTGTCTGTCCCCACATTACTGTGTTCTCTATGCTGTGCCTCTCATCCTGTAACTTACTCATTCCATCACTGGAAGTCTATGCCGCCCATGTTCCCCCCTGCCCCCCAGCAACCACCAGTTCTCTACATTTATGGGTCTGGTCTGCTGTGTTTCTATGTTTTGTTTCTTTATTCATTTGTTTCTTAACTTTCCATGTATAAGCGATATTATATGGTATTTTTTTTTTCCTTCTGACTTATTCTGCTTAGTATACCGTCTAGGTTCATCTATGTTGTTGCAGATGGCAAAATTTCACTCTTGGTGTGGCTGAGTAATATTCCATTGTATGTTCACCACATCTTCTTTATCCGTTCCTCTATGGATGGACACTTGGGTTGCTTTCATATCTTGGCTATTGTAAATAATGATGCAGTAAACATGAAGGGTGCATGTATCTTTTCGAATTAGTGCGTTCATTTTCTTTGGGTAAATACCCAGCAGTGTAATAACTAGATTGTATGGTAGTTCTGTTTTTAATTTTTGGAGGAATCTTCATACTGTTTTCCACAGTGGCTACACCAATTTACTTTCCCGCCAACAGTGCATAAGGGCTCCTTTCTTCCACATCTTCACTAACACTGTTATTTCTTGTCTTTTTAACACAAGCCATTCTGACAGGGGTAAGGTGATATCTCATTGTGGTTTTGATTTGCATTTTCCTGATGATTGGTGATGTTGAGCATCTTTTCATGTATCTTTTGGCCATCTGTATGTCTTTGGAAAAATATCTATTCAGGTCCTTTGCCCATTTTTTAATTTAATTTTTAAATTTAGGTTTGTATTTGTTTTTTTGGTGTTGAGTTTATATGTTCTTTACATTTTTTGGATATTAACTCTTATCTGATATACAATTTGCAAATATCTTCTCCCTTTCAGTAGGCTGCCTTTTCATTTTGTTGATGGTTTTCTTTGCTGTGTAAAAGCTTTTTATTAAAAAATTTTTTTAAAGCATTTATTCATTTTTTTGAGAGACAGAGTGTGAGTGGGGGAGGGGCAGAGAGAGAAAGAGAGAGAGAGAGAGAGAGAGAGAGAGAGACAGACAGAGGGACAGAATCCAAAGCAGGCTCCAGGCTCTGAGCTGTCTGCACAGAGCCCGACGTGGGGCTCAAACTCATGGACTGCAAGATCATGACCTGAGCCAAAGTTGGATGCTTAACTGACTGAGCTACCCAGGCACCCCAAAAGCTTTTTATTTTGGTTTCATTTTGCCTTTGTTTCCCTTGTCTTAGGAGACATAGCTAAAAAAATGTTGCTAAGGCTGATGTCAAACAGATTACTGCCTATATTTTCTTCTAGGAATTTTATAGTTTCAGGGTCACATTTAGATCTTTAATCCATTTGAATTTATTTTTGTATATGGTGTATCAAAGTGGTCCAATTTCATTCTTTGGATTGTAGCTGTCCAGTTTTTCCAGCACCATTTATTGAAGAGACTGTCTTTTCCTCATTGTATATTCTTACCTACTTTGTTGTAGATTAATTGACCATAAAAGTGTGGGTTTATTTTTAAGCTTCTGTTCTGTTCTATGTATCTAGTTTTGTCCTAGTACCATACTGTTTTGATTAATATCTCTTTGTAGTGTATCTTGCAATATGTGGTTCTGATACTTCCAATTTTGTTCTTCTTTTTCAGTATTCCTGTGGCTATTTGGGTTTCTTTGGGGGTTCCGTAAAATTTTTGTATTATTTGTTCTATATCTGTGAGTAATACTTTTGGTATTTTGATGGGGTTTTGGTATTTGATTGCTTTGAATCTGTAGATTGCTTTGAGTAGCATGGACATTTTAACAATATTAATCCTTCCAATCCATGAGCATGGAATGTCTTTCCATTTATTGTGATCTTTAGTTTCTTTCATCAGTGTTATTTTAGTTTTCAGAGTACAGGTACCTCACCTCTTTGGTGAAGTTTTGTTCCTAGGTATTTTATTCTTTTTGGTGTAATTGTAAATAGAATTGTTTTCTTAATTTCTGTTTCTTCTACTTCATTATTAATAGAATGTATAGAAATGCAAGCAATTTCTGTATATTAATTTTGTACCCTGCAACTTTACTGGATTCATTTGTTATTTCTAATAATTTCTTGATAGAGTCTTCAGGGTTTTCTATATATAGTATTATGTCATCTGCAAATAAGGACAGTTTCACTTCTTCCTTACCAATTTGGATACTTTTAATTTTTCCTTTTCTGATTGCTATGGCTAGGATTTCCAATACTATGTTGAGTAAAAGTGGTGGGAGTGGACATCCTTATCTTATTCCTCATGTTAGAAGAAAAGCTCTCAGTTTTTTTACCACTGAGTATGATGTCAGCTCTGGGTTCATCATATATTGCCTTTATGTTGAGGTATGTTCCCTCTAACGCACTTTGCTGAGAGTTATCATGAACAGATGTTGAATTTTGTCAAATACTTTTTCTGCATTTGTCAACATGGTCATATTATTTTTATTCTTTATTTTGATAACGTGGTATATCATGTTGATTGATTTGTGTTTTATTGAAATGTCTTTGCACCCCTGGATAAAATTCCACTTGATCATGGTGAATGATCCTTTTAATCTATTGTAGAATACAATCTGCTAATATTTTTTTATTTTGTATTTAAGTTCATTAGGGATGTTGGCCTGTAGTTTTCTTTTTTCTGATATCTTTGTTCAGTTTTGATATCAGGATAATATGGCCTTGTAGAATGTATTTGGAAGCTTTCCTTCCTTTTCTATTTCTTGGAATAGTTTGAGGAGAATAGGTATTAACTCTTCTTTAAGTGTTTGGTAGAATTCACCTGTGGAGTCATCTGATCCTAGACTTTTGTTTGTTGAGAGGTTTTTTTTGTTTGTTTTTTACTAATTTAATTTTGTTACTAGTAATCTGTCCAGATTGTGTATTTTTTCTTGGTTCAGTTTTGGAAGATTGTATGTTTCCAGGACTTTATACATTTCTTCTAGGTTGTCCAATTTGTTGGCTTAGTAGTAGTCTCTTGTAAGTCCTTTGTATTCCTGTGGTGTTATTTTTCCTCTTTCATTTCTAATTTTATTTATTTGGGTCCTCTCTTTTCTTGGTAGTCTAGCTAAAGGTTTATCATATTTATTTTCTTTTCGAAGCACTAACTTTTGGTTTCATTGAGCTTTTGTATTGTTATTAGTCTATTTGTTTTTGCTCTGGTTTTTATTATTTCCTTCTACTAACTTGAGCTTTGTTTTTCTTTTTATGGTCACTGTAAGTGTAAATTTAGATTGTTTTTCAGAGATTTTCTTGTTTATTGGTGTAGGCCTGTATAACTATAAAAGTTCCCTGTTAAAACTGCTTTCACAAAAAGATTTTGGACTGTTGTGTTTTCAACGTTTATTTATTTTTGGGACAGAGAGAGACAGAGCATGAACGGGGGAGGGGCAGAGAGAGAGGGAGACACAGAATCGGAAACAGGCTCCAGGCTCTGAGCCATCAGCCCAGAGCCTGACGCGGGGCTCGAACTCACGGACCGCGAGATCGTGACCTGGCTGAAGTCGGACGCCCAACCGACTGCGCCACCCAGGCGCCCCTGGACTGTTGTGTTTTCATTTTCACTTGTCTTCATGTCTTTTTTTCATCTCCTCTGATTGCTTAGTTGACCCATTGGTTGTTTAGTAGCATGTTATTTAGATTCCATGTGTTTGTGTTTTTTTCCAGTGGGTTTTTTTTTTGTTGTTGTTAATTTATTTCTAGTTTCATACCTTATGGTTGGAAAACATGCTTGATATGATTTCAGTCTTCTTAAATTTATTTGGACTTGTTTTGTGGCCTAATGTGATCTGTTCTGGAGAATGTTCCATGTGCATTGGAATGTATACATATTTTACAGATCCTTCCCTGTTCCATTGGATCATATATAACTATCCACAGATAATATGCTTTATTGTTTTGGTATATATACACACACACATACATACTTAGAGAGTATCAAACTGTATACAGTATATTGTTCAGTAGGTGATGTTTTCACTTAACCTTTGTCTTACTTCTATTTCCATATTGTATTAATTATTGTGACTTTATATATTTTATGTATGCATATGTATTATGAATATGATACATATGTATATGTGGGATATCTTTATTCTTGGTAGAGTAAATCCACTCTGTTATTTTAGCAAAGTTTTGCATTTTCTTTCCCTTATAATTCTTTCTTCCTTTTTATTATATTAGTAGTTATCTCTTTAAATTTTGAAAAATTTATTACAGTGAAACGTCAGTGTAGTTTGAGTAATAGTAGTACTAGTGAATATTCTTTTACCATTTTTTAATATGGGATTTTGGTACAGATCTTTATCTCAAAAAGTTTTAAAGATTTTGTGCGTGCGTGTGTGTGTGTGTGTGTGTGTGTGTGTATAGTAAAGTTTTAGTCCATCTGCAGTTTAATCCTATATTTGGCATGAAGTAGTAATTTTTCATCATCATTTATTTGATTATTCTACTCTCTTCATCATCTGGAAGTTTATTCTCTAACACGGTAAGATCTCATAAAAAACTTTATGTCTCCTTCTGGGCTGTCTTCCTTTTGATACCTTAAATCCTGTGTCACTACTAATTTAAATTACTCAAGGAAATGTAATAAAATAGCCAGTCAGCTCTGAGGTTGCAGTTAAGATATGTGTTCTTATATTGAAAATGGACTACTTATCCTCATTTTGTGTGCTTCTCCGCCTATGTTCAGTGATTTTGCTGCAGGCATAGGATAAGCAGGAGGTTGGATTGAACCAGAGTTGGAGATCGATTCAAAAATTATAATGATAGGTTAGAGAATCAGAGCTGAGTAAGCAAAAATGAGAACCAAAGTGTTGGATTGTGAAAAAGTATTGCTGCTTACTGAGTGGTAGTTTATATGAGAGAGGAGTTTAAATAATATTCATTTCATATTTCTCTTAACTGCCAAACTCTTCTTCCATAGTTATAACAATTAATATAGATACTACATATATATTTTTTTAATGTTTATTTTTAAGAGAGAGAGAGACAGAGTGCAAGTTGGGGAGAGGCAGAGAGAGACGGAGACACAGAATCTGAAGCAGGCTCCAGGCTCTGAGCTGTCAGCACAGAGCCCGATGAAGGGCTCGAATTCACAAGTGGTGAGATCATGACCTGAGAAGAAGTCAGATTCTTAACTGACTGAGCAACCCAGGTGCCCCTAATAGATACTTCTTATTGAGGACTTATATTATGCCAAGGAGCTGTAGTCTTCTTAATCCTCACAGTTCCATGAGAATAGTTACTCTTTATCAAATGAGAGTTTGGGGACTCATGTTAGGTAACGAACTAAGACATAAAACTAATGGACTTGAAAGTATTTTAATAGTGTGCTGGTCATTTCCACATGGAACTCATCAGTGGTGTATCATTTTCTCTAAACCTACCCATTCTACTTTGTCACTGCTGGAACCTCACTGAATTCTTCCTTACTTCTGTCAGAGACATTATAAAACAAGCATATAGTAGTTGGGAAGTTCCTGTAAATAGACTATATAGTATTCATGGACTTCTATTTATCCTCCATTTTTGTATACTTACTTAGCATTTTACTTTTTTTTTTTTTTTAATTCCTCTCCCTGGACTCTTGTCCTCAATATTTGAGAATGTTTTCATCCATTTACTTCTTTAGAACATGATTTTCCCTTATCTAGTTTCTGCCATAGAAGTTTAATTTTTGATGGAAGAGGAATATATTATATGTATACTTTACTGTTATTTTTCAGATTTACAGTGCATGTGTGATACTAAGGAGTTATTTCCAAAAAAGAGCAGTTTTGATAAAGAATCATTTCAGTGGTATAAAATGGAAAGATTAAAAAACCACTTTGATGGATCCAATTTCAGAGGCCTATCTGAAATACAACAGAGAAGTGAGAAGGAATATTTCCGATAAGAGAAATATGAAAAAATGCCTACATTCAGCCAGCACCCAGCAGCACATATTGATAAGGCTTTTCATAAGAATTCTTAAGAGCTGTATAAGAGAATTTATACTAACAAGAGACCTTATGAATGTAAGGAATGTAGGAAAGCTTTTAGTTGTGGGTCACAACTTACTCGACATTAGAGAATTCATACTGGAGAGAAACCCTATGAATGTATGAATGTGGGAAGGCCTTTGGTCATGGTCCACAACTTAATTGACATCAGAAAATTCATACTGGTGAGAAACTCTATAAATGTAGGGAATGTGGGAAGGCCTTTATTCAGCTATCATCCCTTATTCGACATCTAAGAATTCATACCGGCGAGAAGCCATATGAATGTAAGGACTGTGAGAAGGTTTTTAGTTGTGGCTCAGAACTTACTCAACATCAGAGAACTCATGCTGGTGAGAAGCCCTATGAGTGTACGGACTGTGGGAAGTCCTTCAGTCACGGTTCACACCTTGTACAACATAGGAGAATTCATACTGGAGAAAAGCCTTATAAATGTAAGGAATGTGGGGAGACTTTTAGACATATCTCACAACTTGCTCGACATCAGAAAATTCATACTGGTGAGAAATCCTATAAATGCAGGGAATGTGGGAAGGCTTTTATTCAGCTATTACATCTTGTTCGATGTCTAAGAATTCATACTGGTGAGAAACCTTATGAATGTAAGGATTGTGAAAAGACTTTTAGTTGTGGCTCAGGATGTACTCAGCATCAGAGAACTCATACTGGTGAGAAACCTTATGAGTGTAAGGACTGTGGGAAGGCCTTCAGTCATGGTTCACACCTTGTTCAACATCAGAGAATTCATAGTGGTGAAAACCTTATAAATGTAAGGAATGTGGTGAGGCCTTTATTCAACAATCACATCTTACTCGACATCAGAGAATTCATGCTGGTGAGAAATGCTGTGTATGTGAAAAGTGTGGTAAGGCCTTCATCTGGAGCTCCAAACTTGCTCTCCATCAGAGACTTCATATTGGAGAAAAAAAAAAAAAAAGATTATGAATGTAAGCAGTGTCAAAGGTCTCCCTTGGTGGCTCACAGGTTTTCAACAGATTATATTTAGAGTAATCCTATGAATATAAGTAATTTAGAAAAGTTTTTATTCAGAGCTCCTACTTTACTCAACATCAGAAAATGCATACTGTGAGAAATACTACGAATGTGAGAAATGTGAAAAGGCCGTTAGTCTTAGCTCAAAACTTAAATATTACAGAATTTACATTGGAGAAAAAAAACATCTTACGAATGTAAGCAATGTGGGAACACCTTTAACCAGAGCTCAAACTTTTGCATCAGAGATTGTATACCAGCCAGAACAGACAAGTGAAGAATGTGGGAAGGCTGGTAGTTGTTCACCTACTGGCAAGAATTTTTTTTAAGCTTACTTATTTTTGAGAGAGAGAAAGAGAGCGAGTGGGGGAAGGGCAGAGAGAGAGAGGGAGAAAGAGAGAATCCCAAGCAGGCTCTGTACTGTCAGCACAGAGCCCAACGTGGGGCTCAATCCCATGGACCATGAGATCATGACCTGAGCCAAAACCAAGAGTTGGATGCTTAACCGAATGAGCCACCCAGGTGCCCCAAGAAAGTTTTGTGTAAGCTATGTAGGAAAGTCTTTCTTCATAGTTCAGACCTATTAAATATCACATAATTTATAATGGTGAGAAACCTAGGAATGTTAGGAATATAGAAAACCTTTCATTAGGATTCACAACTAATTGAGTATCAGCAAGTTTATACGTCGATATAGGGAAACTTACGTGCAATGCATCAGTTATGTTACAATAAATTTATTAGAAGAAAATCCTATAGATATTAATCTCATTTGCTGCTTATTTATATCTAGGCATCAGAAAATTTATTTTGGGTCAATAATTGAATGTAGAATATCCATCACAGTTTAGACTGAGAGAACAAGTCTAAATTCAAGATACAAACTTGAGAGAACTCTTCATAGAATATTTTTTTAAAGAGAGAAGCAAACCATAAAATAAAAACTATAGAGAATAAACTGAGGGTTGATGGAGAGAGGTGGGTGAGGGATGGACTAGATAGGTAATGGGTACTAAGGAGAGCACTTATGGGGAGCCCTGGGTGTTGTACATATGTAGTGATGAATCACTAAATTCTACTGAAATCAGTATTATACTATATGTTAATTAGAATTTATATTTGAACTTGAAACAAAATTTTTAACCCCACATTACATATTGTAGTTCTACTACTCTTTTACTACTGGAACTATGAGTAGGTAAATTAATATCCCTGTTCCTCTTTACTTGTTTTTAAATTGGAGGGAATTAAATATTTCATCTCATATGTTGTCTGACAATCCCCAATAAATGTTGACAGTATCACTATCACTGGTAGAATCATTACTAAAATGAATGGAGAATACTTTGTTTAATAACATACGAAAGGGGCGCCTGGGTGGCGCAGTCGGTTGGGCGTCTGACTTCAGCCAGGTCACGATCTCGCGGTCCGTGAGTTCGAGCCCCGCATCAGGCTCTGGGCTGATGGCTCAGAGCCTGGAGCCTGTTTCCGATTCTGTGTCTCCCTCTCTCTCTGCTCCTCCCCCGTTCATGCTCTGTCTCTCTCTGTCCCAAAAATAAATAAACGTTGAAAAAAAAAATTAAAAAAAAAAACACATACGAAAGCTTTGATCTCTTACTGCATGTAAAAAACTTATCTTCAGAATGTAATAAATATGAACAGCCCATTATTCAGATCCTTTTTGCTGTGTCTGCAAGTTCATACTGGGAAAATAATAATCTCATGATGTAGTGAATGTGTAATTAAGAGTACAGCTTTTAAACCAAATGTTTTATGAAGTAACCTCTATAACAAATCCTTAAAAGCAAAAGTTGTATAATTTTTATTTTCTGCAGTAGTTATGGATGTTGAAAATTTTGAAGCGCTTAGAAACTTAGTAACATCTGTATGCTTACCAAAATAGACTCTTAAGGGGAATAACAATGAACCACTGATATATCAAGATATAGAATGTGGTCAAAGCTGTTTTCAGTAGTTCATGCATCATATTAAAAAGTCAAGGACAGTTATTTAGCATTTTCATACTGTATCTTAAACACTTTGAATAGGGAATTAATATTTGTTGAGTAAGTAATTATATGTTTAACTCAAGAAAAGGGAAAAAATTAAAGACAACCCTGAAATGAATAGATAGAAGGGTCTAATAAAATTAAAATAGATTAACGAAATAGAAAGCAATAGGGGTACCTGGATGGCTAAGTCAGTTGCGTGACCAACTCTTGATTTTGGCTCAGGTCATGATCTCAGGGTTGTGGGATTGAGCCCTGTGGCTCTGTGCTCAGCACTTAAGATATTCTCTCTCTCTCTCTCTCTCTCTCTCTCTCTCTCTCTTTCTCTCTCTCTCTCTCTTTCTCCCCCCTCCTCTGCTTATGCATGTTCTCTCTAAAATTAAAAAAAAAAAGTAGTTTAAAATAAAGAAAGGAAAAAAAAAGTAATAGGCAAAACCTATTTGAATTTGCTAGACTAGACTTTATCATGTCACATCAGAAAACACTGGTCATAACTCAGTCCAACACTATGAGTGAGAAAGGAGTGATCATGATAGATGTCATAAAGATATTTTTTACTGTAACAATAATTTATTACAATAAATTCAAAAATCTAGAGAGAAGGCATAATTTTCTAGATAAATATGTCACTGAAATTGATTCGAGAAGATAAAATATCTGAAGACACTAATTAATGGAAGAATAAATAGTAATGGAACTTTGTTTTTAGATGTTACTAGATAATTTTACAGGTGACACCTTGAGGAAACCTAGCCACTCATTCTACAAGATTCACATCCTGCTAAAAATGCTAGAGCAATGCTTCTCAAACAGATGACCTCTATCCTCAGGGAGGGTTGACAATGTCTAACAATTTTTGGTGCTGCTGGCGTCTAGTGTGTACAGGGCAGGTTGCTGCTAACCCTACAATGCACAGGACAGCACCCCACCCCAGCGCAAAGGATTGCCAGGTTGAGCATGTCAACATTACTGTTATCAAGAAAAGCTGTGTTCTAGGATGGCACCCTAAGAACAAATGCCAGATCAGTATCATTTGCATAGCTTTCATTTCAGCTTCTCACTCTTAGTTTGTAGAAGGTTTTGGAATATTTTGAACATCATTTGTTGAAAGTACTTTTTCAGTCTTTGGTATCATTTTTGTGTATATTTTCCTGTGTTCACGTGCATGTGTACATGTACATGCATCTATATTCCATTTAACCACATACCTTTTTCTTTGTGGTTTCTTATATTCCTGTCTGTCTTAGAAGTATTCCCCACACCAAGGTTGAACAAATGAATATCTTAATAGTTTGTTGTTTTCTGTGCAGATTTTAAAAGACTTTAAGGCTAATATGTCAAACAACCATATAGCTACTACAGAGCATTAACATTTTAACAGTTTTATTTCTTAATTTTTAATATTTTTTTGTTTTTATATTTATTTTTGAGAGAGGAGAGAGGAACAGAGAGAGAGGGAGACAGAGGATCTGAAGCGGGCTCTGTGCTGACAGCAGAGAGCCCAATGAGGGGTTTGAACTCACAAACCATGAGGTCATGACCTGAGCCGAAGTTGTACGCTTAACCGAATGAGCCACCCAGGCGCCCCTCTTATTTTTCTTTTTCTGTTCTTTACTGTCACTTTTCTAATTTCAGTCCTACAACTCCTGTTAGAAATAGCCATCACCATTAACTTTACATATTTTCTTCCTGCATATGTACATACATGCCTGTAACCACTGTGCTGCATGTTCTGTGGGGTTGTTGTTTATTGTCTTTTTAAAAATGTTTATTTATTTTGAGAGAGAGAGAGTGAGTGTGAGTGGGGAAGGGGCAGAAAGAGGGAGAGAGAATCCCAAGCAGGCTCTGCACTGTCAGCACAGAGCCTGCTTTGGGGCTCGATTCCGTGAACTGTGAGATCATGACCTGAGCCAAAATCAAGAGTGGACACCCAACCACCTGAGCCACCCAGGTGCCCCTATTCACCCTTATAGCATCATAGTTCCACCATGGCATATTTAGATTTTGTATTATTTTTATTTTCTTATTGAGATTCAGCATAGTTGTGGAATCTATAGGATTCATATCTTTCAATTCTGTAGAAAACTAAGTCACATATTCCTTTTCCTCTCTCATTTATTTTCTTTGGGAATTCCAGTTAAATATATATTGGGCCTTCTCAGTCTCTCCTCTGTGGTTTTTTTCTTCATTTTTAAATCTATCCCTACCCCTTTTATGTATTCTCTATAATTTTTAAGTCTGTTTTGCAGTTTATTAATTCCTTATATAGCTAAGTCTATTTGTAGAATGTAATATTATGAGTTATTTTTATAGAAATTTTTATTTGGTTGTTTTCTAAATGTAAATGTACTTGGTCATTTTGATTCTGTCTTTCTGTTTCTCATGTTTTTAATGAACTCTTCCTTTTTAACATCATTTCACATTAAAAGAATTTTTTTTAATGTTTATTTATTTTTGAGAGAGAGAGAGAGAGAGAGAGAGAGAGGGAGAGAGAGAGACAGAGTGTGTTTGGGAAAGGGGCAGAGAGAGAGGGAGACACAGAATCCAAAGCAAGCTCCAAGCTCAGAACTGTCAGCACAGAGCCCAATGTGGGGCTCAACCCCATGAACCGTGAGATCATGACCTGAACTGAAGTCGGACATCCAACCAACTGAGCCACCCAGGCAGCCCTCATTTTATGTTCTATCTGTTGATACTTCTAACATTGGAAGTCTTCATGGTTCTGCTTTTCACGTATTTTTAGTTTTGGTTTTGTTTTTTTTTTAATTTTTTTTTCAACGTTTATTTATTTTTAGGACAGAGAGAGACAGAGCATGAATGGGGGAGGGGCAGAGAGAGAGGGAAACACAGAATCGGAAACAGGCTCCAGGCTCTGAGCCATCAGCCCAGAGCCTGACGCGGGGCTCGAACTCACGGACCGCGAGATCGTGACCTGGCTGAAGTCGGACGCTTAACCGACTGCGCCACCCAGTCGCCCCTAGTTTTGGTTTTGTTTACTCTCACTTATGTAATATTCTTTCCTAGTGTGGTTTTGTTTTGTTTTACCCTGTATACCTTAGAATTTGCCTACAGGTTTTTTTTTAAAAAAAATCTAAGTCAATTGTATACTCCAGAAAGGATTTACTTTTTTGTTTCCTGCCGTGCCTTGAAGACATTAGCAGTAGACTCTTTTTTTTTTTAATATAAAATTCTTTTTTTTTTAACGTTTATTTATTTTGAGAGAGACAAAGACTGCACAAGTAAGGGAGGGGCAGAGAGACAGGGGGAGAGAGAGAATCCCAAGCAGGCTCCACATTGCTAGCTCAGAGCCCGATGTGGGGTTTGAACTCACAAAGCCATGAGATCATGGCTTGAGC